ATATATATGTATATATATCCATATCCTGCACACTAGTTCATACCATAATGAAGAGATTTCCTTTCCTTGTTACAACTACATCTCCATTGTATAAGTCTGGTGTTGCCATTAGCCTGAGGACCAATCACATCTGCCCTGATGCCTGATTTTGAATGGCCCCTAGCTAAGAATGTTATTTACATTCTTAAATGGTTGCAAAAATCAAAAGAAGAGTAGTTTGTGTCACAAGAAAATTGTATGAAATTAAGATTTGAGTATCAGTAAATAAGTTTTATAGAACACACTCAAATTTAATTAGATAGTCAATAGATGCTTTTGTGCTACTGTGGCAAAGTTGAGTAGTTTCAGCAGACTGTTGCAAATGTTTTCATCCCTTTATACCACAGGTTGGCTCTACAAATTGTGGTAATGTAATTATAATTTGATACCTATTAATGAGCTACAATATTTTATTCATTTATTTTTATTACCAGTACATATCAATCTTGTCAAAACAAGTAGAGTACTAATGTTATGCTTTTAAAATTCAGTAGAAGCTGGCTCACGCCTGTAATCCTAGCTACTTAGGAGGCAGAGAGCAAGAGGATTAAAGTTAGAAGCCAGCCCCAGGCAAATAGTTCTCAAAACCCTATTTCAAGAATACCCAACACAAAAAGGGCTGGCGGAGTGGCTCAAGTGGTAGAGTACTTGCCTAGCAAGCATGAGGCCCTGAATTCAAACACCAGTACTGCAAAAAAAAAAAAAAAAAAGTTCAGAGTGTGGATCATTTTGTTATCAAATTGGATTGCAAAATTTTTTGTTTATTATACAAAAATTTTTTACAATGACACTAGCTTATGTTTAAGAGAGTATAATATTCCAGACTAAGTGCTATTATAACATTATCACCTAAGAAGCAAGAGCCAGAAAAATTTAAAATAGACTATGCCATTATAGCAGAATTTCTTCAGAAAAAAATAAATATGAAAATGAAGCTGTGCCTAAAACAAGCTTCTGAATAATACATATGTTAGCCAAACAAGGAAAGTAATTTGCCGTGATGAGTAAATTAGATTGTATTTGATTACAACACTGGGAAAAATTTGTACATAGAAAATAAACTTGTTTAAAACAGCCTTTCATTGAGAACTGTTAAAAGAGTTGAGAACATTAGGAGCAGTATCAGTAGTCAATTAAAAAGGAAAAATGATTTTGAATGGATTTTCTTTACTCTTGATAAGTCAAAAGAAGTTTCTTACACTGCTTGCTTATTTATTTGAGGAGTCTGGGCCAACTTTTAAAGACCTGAAGAGTTTGCAGTGGTATAGTTGTAGTGTGGCATTTTTAAAATCTAGAGCTAATATTAAATTATTTTGAGTAAAAATATCTTATTCTTCAACGCTGAATGGCTTTGGATATTTACTTTGGTGCAGACTTGATAATGTTTCTTAGTGCGTTCAACTTATAAGACAAAAGTATCTGACAAGTAATATGAAATTGAATGACAAGTAATATGAAATTGCTTTATATGTTTTATATGCTGTCAAAAGTTAAAACAAAAATTGAGATTGCCATTCTGAGGAAAATTTATAGGATGTGTTTTCTGAGCTCAGACTACAGTTTGCAGCTCTGTTTTTGTCCATTCTCTGGAACTATTTGCCTTTGCAGGCTTTGAACTGAGATTCTCCTGTCTTAGCCTCCACAAGTAGTTAGGATTACAGTAGTGAGCCACTGATCACTGGCTGCTGGTATGGTGTTCTTAAAGTGAGATTTTTTTTGGGGGCGAAATGCATTTATGAGTTTACTAGGTGTTCTCAGTAAGACTTGTATTCTTTTGCATTGTTCCTGCTAATGAGAGTATATTTGTCCCTCTACTTCACTGCCAGCATGTGGTGTGATTTTGCCATTCTAAGAGTAAGAAATGAAATCTTAGTATGGTTTTAATTTGTATTCCTCCTACTTTGAATGATGTTGAGTATATTTTCATATCTTTGACGGCTGTTTGCCATTTCTATCTTTGCCTTTTTCTTCTGTGTTTTTAGAAACTATATGTTAGGAATACTGGGGTGTTGTCTTTTTTCTTATCTGTTTTCCAAAACTACATATTAGTAATATTGATCTTTTTGTCATAAATTTTAGCCATTTTCTCCATGTTTATCATTTGTCCTTGTTTTTGATTTATTTTTCCATGGTTCTTCCAAATTTTCTTTTTATTTTTGTGGTACTGGGAATTGAATGCTGGACCTTTGTACATGATAGGCAAGTGTTCTACCACTAAGTTACACTCCAGCCCTAAGTTTTTCTTTTTCTTTTCTTTTTTTTTTTTTTGGCAGTGTGGGCTTTGAACTCAGGTTTTGTGCTTTCTAGGCAGGTGCTTTACCACTTGAACATGGCCAGCCCTTTTTTGCTTTTATTTTTCAAATAGTCTTGCTTTTTTTGCCCAGGTTGGCCTCATACTGCCATCCTCTCATCTATACCTCCCATGTAGCTGGGATTACAGCTATGCACCACCTCACCCAGCAAGTTTTCTTATTTATATTATTAAATATATCAGTGCGTGTGTGATAAATATATATATCTATATACATGCATATGTCAGTATACACACACACATACACACAGGCAGACATACAAAGTCTTTTTTATTACTGCTGTGGATTTGAATCTTAGGCAAGTTTCTTCATTCTTAGGTTACACAGAAATTTATTTACATTTTTTTCTAGTATTCATTTATTGATTTACTCAGCCTTCTTGTTTTAGTATTAATTTTATTCTTGTGGTGGAAGTAGTTTTGTGTTACCTTTTCGTAGTTGGTAAAGCAAGTGTTCTAATTCCTTCAGTTATTTTTTTATGTGCCAGATTTTCTGGAATTTTATGAATTTCCTCTATTTCTATCAATTTTAATATTTTTGTATATGATGATTATTTTTAGATACTGTGTAAAAGAAGAGAATGAGCTTTTTTTTTTTTTCCTGCAGTGCTGGGGTTTGAACTCAGGGCTTCATGCTTGCTAGGCAGGCACTCTAACATTAGAGCCACTCCATCAGCCCTTTTTTGTGTTTGGTATTTTTGAGAGATAGAGTCTGGGTTGGCTTTTGCTTTGAACCATGATTCTTCTTATCTCTGCCTCCTGAGTAGCTAGGATTATAGGCCTAAACCACCTGCCTACCTGGCTTGAACTATATTCTTTAGTTTAACAAATATTTAATATTAGCTGTAGGAAGTAAGGGGTAGATGGTGGACAGATGATAAAAATATGAATGAGACACATCGTGCCTTCCTCTCTAGGTTAGTGTATAAGAGAGATAAAGAGTTACAATATAATATTGTAAATACTGGGGAATGTTTTGAGGTATGAAGGAAAGTGACCAATTTTTCCTAATTGGGATAAAATTTTATAAATGTTATAACATTTAATCTAAATCCTCAATTTTTTTTCTTTTCATTCCTTTTTATTTTTTTGAGACAGGGTCTCAAACTCAAGATCCTCCTACCTCTGCCTCCTATTAGACTGAAAAAGGCAGCATAAGGCAGATGACGGGAGATGTTAGATGTTAGAAGGAGGCATGGAGAGATAGGTGAGGAGATGGCTCAATGTCAGCACAGGCATTATTGGGGAGAAGAAACCTGCTGAGGGGTCTTGGGCTACCATCCACTTACAGACTGAGGATAAGTGTAGGAGGTTGGTGGAGAAGTCCCAGGAGGTTGGCTGGGCTAGAAAATCCTCTGTCAGCCCTCGACCCTCCTGAGATAATGGCTTAAGGGTGGGTGGGGAGTTTCTAGTAAATGGCTAAATGTGAACATTTGTTATTCTTTAGTGCTGGGTGGAGAGTTTCCAGTAAGCCACCTGTGAGGGAAGGGATTCTGGTCCTATCATGGCTGTCCTATGTTCACCGTAATACCTCCCTATTGCTGGGATTATAGAAGTATATCACCAGGCCCAGCAAACCTTGAAAGATTTTAAGTGGGAATTTGTTAGGAAGATATGAGAGAAGATGCAAATTGTGAAACTGGTTAGAAAATTTTAACGGTAAAAGAATTCTATTTTTAATGTAATAAGAATACTAAAACTTTACCATACTTGTAGTGTTGGAGAGTGAACCCAGGGTCTCCTTCATGCTAAATAAGCACTCTACCACTGAGCTAAACCCCTAGCTCCCAGATTCTTAAATAAGATCTTAAGTAACATTGATTTAAAAAAATTTTTTTAACAAATTTATTAAATATTAACACTGTGTGTTTGTCAACACTCCATCCCCCTCCAAACTCTGGGTCTTGAGCATGCTGGACAAGGGCTCTACCACTGAACTCACATCCCCAGCCTTTTAAATATTAACACTTTATATGGAATTTAGTTCACTCCTCTCATTTTAGGATACAAGAAATTAGGGGGATTTCCTTTGTTCAGAAGACTTGGGAGAAATGTAATTCATACTCCTTGTTCCAGGGAATTTCTAGAACAGGGAAATTGGTTAAAGTACATGTGGCAGTCTTGGGTGTATATTAGAAATGGAACACAAATTAACAATTTGTACCTCTTTATTGTAGTGTAGTATAACTTTAGGGAGGTACAAAAGATATTTAAATGTGTTTTGTATACTTGGAAAGAAGTTTTCTAACAACAATTAAAATTGGTTATTTAATAAAAAATGAGACCTGCTTAGAGGTCATATAAAGGGCATAAGAAGAATTGGATGAAGCTTTTTTCCCTTAGAAGTCTAATGAAATCAGTTCTTAAGTTTTTTTCCTCAGTTGGGATCCTCTCGTCTCACCGCCCAAGTAGCTGGGATTATAAGCTTGTGCTACCTTGCCCTGTGTAGAATTTTTTTTTAAAAAGTGCTATAGGTGACTGTGGTGAGTCAAGCTTAAGAACTAATGAAATAGTAAACCACGCTGCATTTTCAGTGAATTTCTAGATCTGACATAATTTTGTGACTACTGTCAGTAAATGATCTTTATACTAATTATTCTTAGCAGCTTTTAAGTTTCCTGACTTTTTTTCTTTTCTTATTTTTCTACAGTAGTTTATGCCAATGTGGCTTCATTTATACAGATGAACCAAGGATTGGGATAGCAGTATAAAATTAGAATCGGACAGCTGACTGCCCAGCAGGATGCCATCAACTAACAGAGCTGGCAGTCTAAAGGACCCGGAGATTGCAGAGCTCTTCTTCAAAGAAGATCCAGAAAAGCTCTTCACAGATCTGAGAGAAATTGGCCATGGAAGCTTTGGAGCAGTGTATTTTGTAAGTGTTAAAGGCTCGATTCAGTGTTGTTGAGTAAAAAACAATAATATGAAGAGAGAGAGTATTTGCTGAGTAGAAAAACAAACTCCTACTGTACTCTCATAACATGCTTCTTATACCAGATGTCTCCAAAAAGTCATATCTGTAACAGAAAGGGTACAAATATATCTCTTCACATAGATCAAGAGATACATAGATTGTAGACTGCAACCATGCCTAGTGCAGGAGCTTCCATTCCCATGGAATTGGGGCAGTGCCACTCTCTTGGCATGTGGATATGTTTGCCTTCCTGGGAGGCCCTGAACGTAGTCCTTTCGGGTTTTTATGGAGGCTTCATTACATTTTAATGATTGATTAAATCATTGGCCATTGGTGATTAACTCCAAGGCTAGCCTCTTTCCTTTCCCTCTGAGCACATGGTTGGTTCTCCTGAGAACCAGTCCCATCATCCTGTGGTTATCCAGGGACTTTCCAAAAACTACCTTATTTAAGTAAGCTAAGGTATGGCTGGAAGCGGCTTGTTTTAAATGACAAACAACTTTTATGATATAGCTGTTCTAGGGCTGCTTCTGAAACCAAAGACAAGAGGCCAAATTATTTTAACACAAGATAGAGTTGAGGGAGATCAAAATATCCCACCCTAAATTTAGTTCATTGGCATGCTTTGAGTTGGTTATTCAGAGAAAATGCATACTTTTGTAGACAGTGGAATAACTGTGAAAAGCTATCCTTTTATGAAAAGAAATATACACCATCTGTATTAGTCAACAGTGCACATAGGCAAAGGCTTTTCACTTTGATGGGCTAGAGGTGGGATATAAGCTCAGTGGTAGAACACTTGCCTAGTAGTACATGGCCAGGCCTTGGGTTTTTATCCCTCGCATCACACACATACATAACACACACAGAGACACACAGAGACACACACACACACACACAGAGAGAGAGAGAGAGAGAGAGAGGGGAGAGAGAGAGAGAGAGAGAAATCTGATACACCTGTCTACTTAAGAAAGATCTTTTCACAGGAATGAAAGATTGGAGTTCTGACACCTGAACCAGATTATAGATGACTATTACTTAGGAGATTATTTGCTTAATAGTAATTGTTTATCTTCCTGCCCTTGACCTCCCATAGTTAGCTATCACTACCTCCAGCAACCTCAAGCCCCCTGTTTCTTTCTATAAAATCAAAGTGCTATTTAAGGTTCAAACATCTGGATTTTCTTTTGAGTCTTCCTGCTTTGTATATGGCTCCTGTATTTTTGCACATTAATAAATTTGTATGCTCCCCCTTTTCTCTATTGCCAGTTCATTTGGAATACATTCCAAGAACCACAGGGGATGCCTAAAACTGAAGATAACATTGAACCTTGCAATTTAATGATTTTTCTATCTTAATGAAATTGGAGGTTTGAACCCAAGGCCCAAACTTCTGAGATTCTATATGCCAGGTCTGGCCACCCGCCCTTAAATGTCAAATAAAGAGGTATGGTGAAGACAGATAAAGGAGGTTTATTACACGGCTCAGGACATGCCGTGGGAAGAGGCAGAGTAAGCACTCAGCTCATGTTTAGCCATCTTTGGGGTATAGGCATAAATTATAGGTTTAAATAGGCAAAAACTTAGGAACAGGGGATAAAAGGTATGCATAATTAAGCAGTTCGGTCATACATATGGTCTGGTTGGTCATTATCTCAGTCTTTGTTCTGGGGGAGGTTCCGGAGTTGTTATCTGGAAAAAGGCAGGTGATGCATCCAAAAGTACGTCTACTGTTGGGTGTAGTTTCTTTACCCTGCCATGAAGATGTTACCTGTCTTTCCTGGAATCCAATGTGATTGCAAAGTGACTGTAAAGAGAATGGCTTAGAGCAAAGACAGATATAAAACGGAGGCAGGGATGTCAAGTTTCTCCTGTTTTTAGTTAATTCATGGCCCTAAGAAGGAATCAGTGCTTTTCAGAAAATTCAGTTTGAGCACCTCTGTCATTAACACCTATCATACACTGTGGCCATGACTTTTGCAGTTTGAGATGTGACAGCAAATCTAGCACAAATTTCATTTTCCTTGTTTATAATCTCATGAATAGGCAATTCATTCTTACTGTAGGTCTTAGCAATGTCACCATTTTTTTCCCTCCCTTATTAAGTCTGGGATGGTGGTATATATTTGTAATCCTAACTGCTCAGGAGGCAGAGATCTGGAAGATAGTGGTTTGAAGCTATCCAGGGCTTGAAGCCATCCAGGGCAAAGAATTAGCAAGACCCTATCTCAACCAATAAGCCAGGTATAGTTTGTAGCTATAATCCCTGCTATGTGGGAGGTGGTAGGTAGGAAGTTCACCCTCCAGATTGACCTGGGCAAAAATTCAAGACCCTATGCAAAAAAATAACTAAAACAAAAGGGATGATGGTGTGGTTTAAGTAGTAGAATATGAGGCTAGCTGCTTACAAGCAGGAGGCTCTGAGTTCAAACACCAGTATTGCCAAAAGAAGAAAAAAAGTTCAAAAGTTTTATTGTCACATTTTTACTTAAAGGGAGCTCTGTATGACTTCTCATTGGCATATCAGAATTGCTGGCATCACTTCTCTTATGCTTTGGTGCAATTATTTAGTAAATTGATCATTACTTGAACATAAGTGCTGACAGTTCAATTGGTAACCAGGATGATTCTTGTGAGAAATATGCTCACCTGTCCAGACTCAAAGAATGGACTCAGAGACATGTGAAGTACAGTGAAAGCGAGACTTAGTGGTGATCTTGCAAGATCGGGTGCCTGGTGAGCAGAGACACCCAAAGTGGTTACAATAAGCATTATATTGTCTAGTGTGTAAGTCCCTCCCCTGGTTCCTCAGTGGTACTATGGGGTATATGTTCTTTTCCATAGATCATCTAAATTTCCTATTGAGTTATTTTAAAATATGCCTTTCTTGGGATTGGTCAAATTTTAGAAGTGGGCTTGAAGTGATACCCATCTCCCTTTGTGGTGGGAAGGCTCCCTGTGATACACGCTTTCTTTTAGTACACAGTTTTTACCCATTTTCCCCTCCCAGTTTAAGTTCCCTTTCCAGTTGGCCTTCCCTCAACATCTTCAACGTGATATGCAAGCAAGTGGCCAGGGTTAAATGCCTTGCCTTGAAAGTGAACCACCAGTGATTTTATTTCTAACACTACTAAGTCACTTATGGGTGGGTAGAGTATGCAATATGGATATGTAACTTGAGTTCTAGGCCACAGGTGCAACTCCAGGGCTTCCAACATATTGGGTCTGGCCACTTGTTCCTGTATTCCAAATAAAGAGATGAGTAGTGGTGAAGGGCAGAGGAATGAGATTTATTACACAGCCCTGAGCATGCTGTAGGAAGAGGCAAAGTGAGCATTTTAGCTCACCTTCGAGGTACAGACATGGGCTTTATGTTTAAATAGAAGAAGAATTGGGGCAGGGGAGATAGGTATGAACAGTCCCAGGAAATGTGTGGCCTGGTTTATCATTATGTCAGTTCTGGTTTTGTAAGGGGTTCTGGAGAAGTTATCAAGGTTTGTTATGCTGTTATCATTTGAAGGGAACAATCTGGTTCTCATGAGATATTACTCCTATTCCAGAGTGGAGCCTCATCATTGTAGGTAATTGTCCTTATTTGGATGAGGGGGAAAAAGAGGGTGCTATGTAACAGGTGCTTCAAGAGGTGTATTACAGTGTGGTCCAAGTAGGAGCAGCAGCCTGTGTATACCATGGGATCAAGTGCAGGAAGTCCTTCAGAAATGGGAGAAAAATATACGTGATGACATGAGTTTCAGGCTTGCAGTAAACTTCATATGGTCCTGGAAAGAACCTCTAATAGTCAATAGTAAGATTGGCTGATCTTGAGTAATCCAGGAGGTCACTGTGGGGAATAAAGAGGAGCAGTTTGATGTTCTATGGAGTATTTTCCAACTTGGCAACAGTATATTGGATAAAGAGATGATTCACGTTCTGGGCAGGATGAAGCATGCTACTAAGAACAGCAGACAGTTTAAAACTTTCAGAGAAAGCTTCTCTTTAGGAGAGAGACAGGATCACTAGAAATCAGAAATTGTATTGTTGGCCATACTGTAAGATACTGTTTTTAGAGCTCAAATAAGTTCCTGTTTTCAGTTTTGAGTATGTATCTAGGAGTGGAATTGCAGATTCTTATGGCAGGTCTGTGTTTAATATGTTGAAGAACTGTCAAATTGTGCCATAGCAGCTATCATTTCCATTCCCATCAACATCTGAGTGTTTCAGTTTCCATTGTCACATTTGTGACAATGCCTATTATTTGATTATAGCCATCCTAGTAGGTGTGAGATGGTATCTTATTGTGGTTTTGATTTGCACTTAGTAAATGATGATGTTGGACATCTTTCCATGTGGCATTTGTATTCTTTGGAGAAATATTTATTCAAGTCCTTTTGCTCATTTGTAAACTTGGGTTCTCTGTCTCCTTCTCTCCCTCCCTTCCCCCTTCCCTATCCCCCCCTCCTCCCCATACTGGTTTGAACTCAGGGCCTTGTACTTGCTAGGTAGGTGCTCTATCACTTAGCAATGCCCCCAGCCCTTTTTGCTTTAGTCATTTGGTGATACGACTAAACGACTGAGATCAGTCTGGACCACAATCTTCCCATTTCTGATTCCAGCCTAGCTGGGATGATAGGCACTCTACTACTGAGTTAATCCCCAACTCCTATTTTACAGTTTTAAGGGTGCAAATGTTTCATCCCCATTAGTTTCTAAATAGAATTACTTTTTTATTTCTGTGGTACTGAGTTTGAACTCAGGATCTTACATTTGCAAGCAGGAACTCTACCTCTTTTTGCTTTAATTTTTCATACAGGGATTCACATTTTTGCCTTGGTCAGGCCTCAGACCTCAGACCAGACCACAGTCCTGTTTAAGCCTCCTGTGTAGCTGGAATTACAGTAGTGTACCATAATACATGGCTTGTTTGTTGAGATGGGTTCTCCCTAATTCTTTGCCTGGGCTGG